GGGTCCTTCCTCCATGACCTGATTCGGGATGGACAGTGAAAGTGGACAGGGGATAGTTATTGCTAAGTCAGGGGAACATATCCGTCACCATGGAAGGAGTCAGAGATTTAAGTACCTCTGAGGATGACAGAGAAATTGCCACTGGATGTCACAACCCCAGAATGGGTCATGAGGTGAGACCTCGTTACAGCCGTCAGTGTTCCCTGGTCTGCTAGGGCCTCACACACACGAGGACCCTCGCGAGATTCGGAGTGTAATTTGATGTTTCCCAGCTCTGCAGGGCATGTGTGCTGGTGGACAGCACCACGGTCCCACAGAAGGAATCCAGGGGTCAGCAGCTTCCCACTACCCTCCCCGGCAGGCACCGAACTCTGTGTATGGTAGGGTAGAGCGAAACTGTTGTCAGAAGAACAATTTACAAACAAAGCTCACACTGAGGAGAGATAGAAAAGGGAAAAGGGGAACCTGCACCACATGTAAAAAGGCTACGAATCTGCGAGAGGAACTCTGTCATGGAAAGAAAGCCACAGAGCTCTGCTTTATGCCTGCTGCCCTGTCAAAACTATCGAGACCATCCCCTCCATTCTCTAAAGTGTCCTGGTTTGGACAATAAATTATATGGCCACCCTAACTATAATAGGAAGATGCCCTAATCTGCCCTTATGGGAAAGCACGGCAAAAAAGAGTCACTGACCACATGGTGAGCAGGGACTTGCCACTGAACCTCCATCGGGAGAGCAGGCTAAGGAGGGTCTCGGAACACGGGGCACTGGCTGCCATGAATACCGCATCTGCTACGGAGCATGGACTGGATAGAGTGGATTTCCCTGGTAACACAATGCATATTCTGGTCCCGATGGACATCCATTAAGAAGATAATTAAAGAGACACTGGCATACACATTCTTGGGATTGGATAAAACATCTCTGTTATTGACATCAAAGTTCCTACTCAATTTGAAGCTGACCTGCCCCCCCTTTCCCCAGAACAGAGCTGGGGAGTCCAACGAACCATACAGACGAGGGGCTCTGAACAAGGGATTCTTCCCCTGTGCATACAGCTTTGAGCACAGCACATCGACTGAGAATCAGGCTTCATGTTCACTGGTCTTAGACCTGCCTCTCCTGCTTTTCCTTCACAACAAATAATGCTCATCTTCTCATTTAACATCAGTAAATTGGAGTGTTTTGGTTTTGAGTGTTTGCTCCAGCTTGGTGATGGCATTAGCTGGGTTGTTTGGAAAGTGTATATTCCTTCTCCAGGAAAAAAGATGCTGTTATATTGGTATAAAAAGGAGAGTTGAATACGTTGGTTTGAATCAGCGCCTGGAATTGCTCTGTAGGAATCAAGTGGGTGTTGACAGCGGAGTACACACAGGTCATTCTGAATTTACACATTAGTTACAGATAACGTGCTGTGATTGCAAGATTTTACACTATTTTTGCCACTCAGTGCCAAATTTTAATCACAACCAAAAAATAGCAAACTGGTAATGAAGAAAAGTCATTATACTCTCTCATGGGATGTTTGAACTTTGTAATTCCGCTTATCTTAGAGACATGATTTGTTATTAGAAACTATACTAACGAGAAAGCTTTTCTGCACATCAACACAATTTTATGAAAACACGTAAGAAAAGCCTATTGTGCTTTTTTCCAACACATTGCCTCCAAGTCTCTAGGGTCCTTTCATAGACCAAAGGCTGGAAACAACCAAAGGCTGTTTCACTGAATTGACTATGCATGTTAGGAAACTTGATAGTTGCACATAAGGAAAACGTTAAAATCACTGGCAAGAGGATTCTTGGCAGTCGTAGGATATTTATCACAACTTTTATAATAGCAAAAAGTGGGCACCATCCAGCTGTTGCTCCACAGTAAAACGGGATGGCGGAGTTAATAAGTGAAACATGGTGTCGTACACATCAAAACCACAGGGCAGTAAAAATTAATTAACCTTACCTATAAATACTGCCAGGGCTGGATCTCCAAGACTAATCTAGAACAACAGTGACAGCAATAACAATAAAAAGAACCCAGAAGAAGGCACATGGTAGTGCCCTATGCGTAAACTGAAAAGCAAGGGGACACAGAACACAGAACACTACTGTGTGAAGTCACCTACATGGATATAGCTTCTAAAGAAAAGCAATACATTAGAAATTACAAACTTTCAGTCGTAAAATAAATAAGTCATAGCGATGCAATGTACAGCATGGTGATTACAGCTAATAATACCTTATTGTCTATTTAAAAGTTGCAAAGAAAGTAGACCTTAAAATTTTCATGAAGAAAAAATTATAACTATGTATGGTTGTGGATATTAACTAGTTATTGCGGGATTATTTCCTAATGTATACAAACACTGAGTCATATGCTCACATCTGAAACTGACACGGTGCTACACGTTGATTAAAACATAAAAAGGTGATACAAAGATTAGTAAAAGGGGGCAGGGTAATCCTTAACTGGGGGAGTGAGAATTTAGAGGAGAGGGAGACATTAAAGGCATTGTAGTGTTTAATTGTGTACATTAGGGGGTTAGCCCACAAACGCTCTTTCAAGAAACATGAGTAGTATTTTAAAACGCATACATGAATTACTTAGTGACTTCATATCACATCAACGTGTAGGTATTTATGGAAAGTACCTGTTCTCATGCAGCTGTGTTGCACATTTGGAACATGCCCGAAGCTCAAATATGAGAGAGAACTCTGTGGTTTTAGAAAGTTGTGGGTTTTTTTTGTTTTTTGTTTTTTGTTTTTTTACTTTTTAATACAAAATAACAAGCATTCTATTTTGCACTATTAAACAATACAGCAAAGATTTTTCTTCCTATCCCTTTTAGTGCTTCAAAATCTTTTACGTTTTAAGTTACAGCTCCTGGATAAATTCTTTATTTAGTTTTGAAGGGATCGGTTCCTCTGCAGAGCTCTAAAATCCATCATAAGCATAAAGGTTTAAAAACCTGTCTGGGTCAGAGGTGCAAATATTTGGCAGGCAAGGAGAGCAGGCAATCCAATGTTCTAATGCTCCTGGCTCTGCTTCACACTCACAGTGCCGCTAGCTTTAGGGGGCTTGAAAGATTAAATGCCCTGTGTGGGCTTACTGTCAACTCTTTGGAAGGATTTTATACTTTCTTGTTGGGCTATCAAGTTATCTCCACCATGACCTCAAACTTATTTTGGAAAAAAACCCATAAAATGAGAAACGGGAGTAAGAGCAAGCACGGCTTCCAGCCACGATTAGAAGGAAGTCTCACAACTGACAGGCCTAAGCTTCTGGTGGCTCAGACTCTTCACACGGATGCCTCAGAATGGACATTTGTTACCCTCAGGAGCTCCCCCTCCCTGGCTGCATGGATCCTGGACAGACTCGGTCAAAGATCTACCAAACAGGCAAACCCACCGTCTCCCACAGTCGGGGTGATGGTCTGGTGTTATCTTGGTAAAGTTCACCACGAGGTAGTGAGTGAGTGTCGGTAGCCATTAAGTTCCTCTCTTGCTCTGGTGTAGGTAACAGTGTCCTTGTGCGTACACAGTGGGCAACAGGACCCTTCCTGAACGTTTAGGGCAACAGAGCAGCTGGGGATCTTGGGAAAATGCAGATTCTGGTTCAGGAAGTCAGGGGAGTTACGTCTGCACCTGTGACAGGCTTGAAAATGGTGCTGCCCTGGGTGGCTTCCGGGCCACACCGGAGGACCTGGGCCCCTCGGGGAGGAGAGCGGCTGACAAAAAGAAGACCGCCCACGTGCAACAAGGAAACTGTTGCATAAAAACACCTGAAGGAAAGGTTCTAAGGGTTATCTGGCCTTCGGAAAACACCCTACTGTGAAGCACAAAAGGTAAGAGACAGAGAGTGAGGACCCTCAGAGTGGCCTGCACAGAGTCACCTGGAGAGCCCACTCCCTGGGTGTCAGAGCCAGAGAAAGCAGATCTCTAGGGATGGAGACAGGCCCTAGCATTCTGGAAGCTTTCCAGGTGACTTCAGTGAAAACAAGTGCTAAATTCAAAACCAATCTTAGCAAATGCACATCGAAACAAGGCCCCCCAGAGACTTGCATTTTAGGCCATAATTTACGGCCTTTGTCTGGGGCGCCTGGGTGGCACAGTAGGTTAAGCACCTACTGGTTTCGGCTCAGGTCATGATCTCTGGGCCCATGTCAGGCTCCGCACTCAATGGGGAATCTGCTTGGGATCCTCTCTCCCTCTCCCTCCCCCTCTGTCACTCCCATTCATGCTATCTCTCTCAAATAAGTAAATAAATCCTTAAGAAAAATTTATTGTCTTTGCTTGACATTCTCATTGACAAAACTGAAAGAGAAAGCTCACTCTTCAGTATTAACCTTCATTTAAAATTGCTGGTTGTCTCAAAAGGCAGGAGATGGAAAGACAAAGATGGTTTGATTGTCAGCACCACCAGTTCCTTTCACTTACCGCCCAAATAATAGGTGTCCCCTGAATCAATCTGCCCTCGCAGGGAGTGAGCCACAGCGGCTGCCTCACCATCCACCATCACACTCAGGTGATTTCCTTTCAACGAGAGGGACACTGAATGCCACTGCCCATCACTTAATCCAGCACCTGGAAGTAAACAAAATCGGGTCAAAGATTGCTAAAAACCCTATAGATGCAGCTACACAGAGCCATGCTTGAACACAATACAATCATGATCTTAGACACCTTACCAAACTTCACCATGAACTCACCTGAAACCCCCCAGGTTATTTAGCTGGTTGGGCAATGGAGACCCACCACAGAGGACAACTCGGCCTCTCAGAGAGAAAGGGAGAGGCTTGGGACAGATGTGGGCTTGGGGGTTTCTTAACAGGCAATGAGATCACGTGGTATCCTGGTCATGTTTCTCTAGGAGGAAGGGGTTACCTGTGGAGTGAGGCTCATTGAGTAAATGTGTGGTTCCAAAGGGTCCTTGCATCTGATCCCCACAGTCATAGATTGGCCAGTCGTGTTCTAACACAAATTATATTCTAGCAAAAATTACTGTGCTCAGTTAAGAGTATTAAGACATATGTGCACACAGCAATGACTGTGTTTCACTTTCTCATCACTCAGTTAAATCATAAAAGTGTAGGAAGAAAAAAAGAGAAAAGAAAGAAAGCTGAATTGAAGGGGGAAGGAAGAATCAAGAGTGGACATTCCAAACATTCTGCCTTGGACAGTGGAATCTTAGTTTCTCCCAGTGCTCGGACTTTAACGGATTAACACAACAGCATCCTGAACAACCTTAACATAATCAAATATCCTAGTCCCCTCGCTCAGGGCACACTTCTCCCTCTTCTAGTTTGTTAATATTTTAGGACGTTGAGAAGGATAAGATTTTCCAAAATTGTTGTTATAAAAATAAAATCTTATCCCTACTTTCACGTATTATTACTATATATAATCTTGGTAGACTATTTAGAAAAATATATCGTATATATCAATATAACTCTTTAGAAAAAATGTATCAGCAACTTAAGTATTACTAAAACATGAAAATTCATAGAACAAAATGTAAAGTTTAGAAAGCATCACATTAAAGTGTGTGTGTGTGTGCATACTCAATCACTGTCTAAAATTGGACAAAAACCAGTAGGAAATATTTTTAAATATTAACATTAACTTTGGATGAGGGAATTGTGTTTGCCTTCATGCCCATGTTCCATTGGCCAAAGCAAGTCATTTGTCCAAAGGCAAGGGACTCCTCCCCTCCACGGGGAGGTCACGGCCACTGTCATGGCCCCAGAGACACCTACTGCTCTGAAGAAGCACAGTGAATAATTGGAATCTCTAGAAACTGTCTTGCCCAACTGGGAAACAGGTCATAAACAAACAGTTCAGCTCATTGAAAACAACAAAGTGAGACTCTGGATTTCTTTGATGTTGTGCCCAAGCTCGCGAATGAGCCTGCCTGACTCTAATTTGATCGTCTTGGGGAATTGTCCTGATAGATTAGCCTATACTTCTTGCAAATGAGAAAGGTGCCAACTGCTTAGAGCCCTCTAAGTTTGGAAGTCAACCTGCAAGGGTCAGAAGTTATTTTCTAGCTCGTGGGGGTATGGGGCCATGTTTCTGGTAGAAAGTTAACCAGGCATATTTAATTTAGTATCAGAGTTTGGCCCAAGGAACCCAATCAACCCCATAAATCCATGTCCCTCCAATGCTCTTTAATATGTCAACGATACTGCAATTAAAAATGAAAATACAGCTTTTTTTTGTCTTGGCTTCATTTCTCATCAGTGACGCTGACATGGATTCAAGACCCTGTGCATGGGAAATATGTTTCTGGCCTGACCCAGAAGGTCATAGACCCTACTGTAAAAATCGCGATGCCTCCGCTCCTCTCAGACTGTGAAACAGGAGCGATGGTACTTCCCAGCACTCCCTCTCAGGGACTTTAGCTCTTTGCCGTGTACACCCATCTCTCACTTTCTGTGTCACATTTGTGAATCCAAAACTGTTGCAAAGACCCCACACGGGTTAGGTTCATGAGCAATGATGAGAAAGCCGACAACAGAATATGGAGGATTGCGGTTAGATACTCAAGACCTACATTATGACACTGGTCCTGAAGGAAATCCTCCAGCCCTCGAGCTGAAGGAATCCACAAACAAGAACCTGGGCATGTCCCTTCCACTCTTGTCATTCGGTATTTATTTTGAAGTTTACCTAACATTATCTGTCAGGATACTCCATTTAAAATCTGATGTTAATGGGGCGCCTGGGTGCCTCAGTGGGTTAAGCCTCTGCCTTTGGCTCGGGTCATGATCTCAGGGTCCTGGGATCGAGCCCCACACTGGGCTCTCTGCTCAGCAGGGAGCCTGCTTCCCTCTCTCTCTCTCTCTGCCTGCCTCTCTGCCTACTTGTGATCTCTGTCTGTCAAATAAATAAATAAAATCTTTAAAAAAATAAAATAAAATCTGATGTTAAAATTCCCTCCTGTCCTCTCCCCCCTCCCCCCACTTGTCTAGGACTTAGAGTTATTTCCTGGGAGAACTTGCAGAAAACACTCCAGAATATCTCCTTGAATAGATAATAGATGCCATTTACCTCTATAATAAAAGACTGTTTTTAATAAAATTCAACATTCTCATTTAAAAGTGAAATGCCTGCTCTTACGATCATTCTGTTTCTCCCCATTATAATTCTCACTCTTTGTGTTTCTTTTGTGTGTCCTCCACCCTCCCCACTTCTGACAGAACGAACTGCCTGTCTCCCAGGCAGCACTACAGTCAGAGGACGGATGGAGAAGGGAGGGGCAGGGGTGTTTTGGTTTGTGCTACTGGGAACACGATGATGCTCATTCTCCCACCCACCCCCCAGCTCCACAAAGGCTTCAGTCTTGGCGGGGAGTGGGGGGGGTGATGGTCTCGGGACTAGTTTTGGAATAATGAGAACTAAAGGTTTTGGAGTGACTGCTGACTAGCAGGCCCTGGGCTCAACATCATTGTTTCTACCATCAATCACACTAGTGTCATTCCAAAGATGAGGACCCGAGGCTCGGGGAGAACACTTTTTGAGTGGCACTTTTTGAGCCCATCAGCCCTAGCAGCACAGAGGTGGTTCTGGAAATGGGCCTGGGAGGTGAGTCCTCTCACACAGCCCTCCCACCAGCTTGTGTAAAATCCATCCTGATCGCAGTGAACACTGCCCTGGGCAGTCGAGTCCCTTCGGGAAAGGGTGGACTGTGTCTTTTCCTACAGAAAGGGAACGCACGCTCCCTTGCCCCCCATTGACCTTCTGTTTCCACCACGCTCCGCTGGCCCAGCTTCACAAGCACACGGACACTAGATTGTACACTCTGGACCTTTCTAGATCCCTTCACAAACACAGTGAGGTAACTATTTGGAAAAAGAACCCAAAAGCTGGAAGCAGGGTGAATGGTGACTGGGTGTCCTTTCCTGGCATCCGGCATGATTACATCTCACTCAGCCTTTAAACTTTGGTTCTTGGTTTGGTAGGTGCTTTCGCACTTCATCCAAGGTTTGGAATGAAAACCAGTCGCCATCTGTCTCCTCTTCCTCACTTTCTGTGCCTCGCAGACACCGCGCCTTTCTCCAGCTGAAGGCTCTTGGCCCCCTGCCTGGAGCGTGTCTCTCAGGGACATTTTTCCAACAGCATCTTCTCATTCTGTGCCTCTGTGTCACGATCCTTCAGACTTTTTCGTCACTGTGACATTTGTGATGCTGATCTTTGATCCGTGATTACAACGTGCTGAAGGCTCACATGACACCATTTCTTAGCAATAAAGTATTTTTTTAATTAAGGCGTGTATATTGTTTTTCCAGACATAAAGTTCCTGCACATTTAACAGACCATGGTATACTGCAGACATAACTTTTATATGCAAGGGAAAGCCCAAAAAAATCCATTTGGTTCGCTAATTGCAATATTTCTTGTATTTGGGTGGTCTGGAACCAGACCTGAGTATCTCGGAGGCAGGCCTGTATTTCAAAGGTTAAAAAAAACAAAAACAAAACAAAACAAAACAAAAAAAAACACCCCTCAAATGCTTCTAAAAAAAGCAGCAAGAAAAATGCTTCTCTGGTTTGTTTCCAAAAATTAATGTGTTGCCCAGTGAAAGCTTAAAAAAATCAGTTCAATAAAATATTCCTATAATATTTCAGTGCCAGCCTTCAAAAAAAGTTAAATAACTAATCCCAGTTGTTGGAAGGGAGAACGGTGTGTACTCACGTGAAGCAACAGCAAAACACCATCTCTCCGTTAATAAGGCACGCAGCTTGTAAAGCTACACAAACCAGGAGTGAGGCGATTTCCAAAATCTGACTTGACACTCCCTGGTTATGCTCATCTGCTGAGGTCCACAAGGGAACTCCCTACGCCGGTGGTCAGATTTTGTCTTTTATTTATAAAGAGAAACAAAGAGCTACGTTTCATTCCCGGCTTTCAATCCGACCTGGTAACCTGGGTCAGGCAAGGCGCTCCTTCCGTAGTCAACGCCTCTTTTGTCAGGACTCCGACTTAGGCTACTGTTCTCCAGTGTTTCAAGCGGACTGCCAACTCCCCACCATCAGTTTATAACTAGGTTATTTTTTAAACTTTTTAAAAATATTTTATTTATTTATTTGACAGAGAGACATCACAAGGAGGCAGAGAGAGAGGAAGGGAAGCAGGCTCCCCGCTGAGCAGAGATCCCGATGTGGACCTCGATCCCAGGACCCTGAGATCATGACCTGGGCCAAAGGCAGAGGCTTTAACCCACTGAGCCACCCAGGCGCCCTATATTTTAAACTTTTTGAGAGGCATGTGTGATCTGCAGCTAACTTCGGGTCAAACTGACTCACACAACAACAGCCTGGATGTACCTAGTTCAAAGGTAAAAGAACTAACTCTAGCTCCCTCTAGAAGGATTATGAGTATCTTACTGATTCAGTCACTCATTTAATGCAGAGGTGACAGGAGGACCGTGTGGTCACAGCAAACACCTATTACCTGCTGTGACGTCCCTCGCCAGATGTCCGGGCTGGGAGAGACTCAGTCTGAGTTTTCCATCATTAAGAATGAGGACGAGAGCCGCTGGCCCATGTTGGAATTGAGTGGTCAGCAGCAGCCCTGCCCTGTTCCACGTTCGGAATTGGAAAGCGACCGACACCTTGTCCTCTCCGGTGGTGCCCGGCAGAGCCAAGTAACTCCTGGAGCTCAGAAAAGTCACGGGCACAATTTGTGGGTGTGAGCACGAGAAGGACACATTTCCCTGTGAATACAGTGGAAAAGGATTTAGGAAGGGACAGAAGGGATGCTTTCATGAACAATGAGCTTTCCAAGAGGTGCAGTTTCCTAGCAACCTACCAGCAAGCGAGGACCCAAGAACTAGGCTTCCCCATCCAGCTGCAATCCAGACTGACCTGACAGGTCCCTGAAACCGTGACACTGCCCTGGCTGGGCAAACCTCCTTCTGAGGCTTTTAGGGCAGTTCTGTCTCCTCCATTTCTGGGCATTGGCAAAGAATCTCGAGACATGTCTTTCCCAGGCCTTGTGCTGGGCGCAGGACACAACAGAGGAGACAGATTTCTTATACCTCCAGGCACTGGCTGTTTACATGCGGCATGAAGCCCAGCACCACGGACAGCGGCTCCGGGAACCTTCCCGCACCCCCCTTGGTCGTGTGAACGCTTACACACCCGTCACCCGGGGACACGAACATCTGGCTCAGGCAGGCCCTGGGCTTCAGCCGTCTGAGGCAGGGGTGTGGCCGGCCTGAGCGGGCTGCCCACCTCTCAGAGGCTCCCATGGGCCGTGTCAACCAGCACACTCTCCCCAGCCTGACCTCTGACCCGCTGGCTGCCTGTTGCTTTTATTTCATTCTATTTTACTAAAAAACACACCTTTGAGCTTTAGATTATGTCTGCTGCTCCAGGAGCAAACTTACCTTTAATCATAGTGTTTGGGAGGAAGGAACTTAAGTTCTTAAAAGAACTCCAATTAAGTGGGGTGCCTGGGGGGCTCAGTGGGTTAAGTCTCTGCCTTCACCTCAGGTCATGATCCCGGGGTCCTGGGATCAAGGACTCAGAGGGAGTCTGCTTCTCCCTCTCCCTCTGTCTGTCCCCCTGCACGTGCACCCTCTCTCTCTCAAGTAAATAAATAAATTCTTTTTAAAAAAATTAGATAGATAGATTTTCACAAATTCCAGAGGAATATGTGCCCAAACATTGTCCTTCCTCTCCAAAATATATACCATAAAAGCACTGTAATCGAGTCAATACGGCATTGGTATGGGGTAAACACAGCAGCGGAGCCCAGTGACTGACCCACAGAAAGATCTGAGACCACAGGTACAGCCAGCATGTGGTGAGAGGGAAGACTCAAGCCTGTGCTCGGAGGTTGGGTCTGGTCACTAAACAGCTCAGGCACGAATGGGTACCCATGAGACCTAAAATAACTACTGATCCACACAAAGAGTAAAGCCCAGACAGTCGAAGACTTAATTTTTTTTTCAATTTTAAAGTAAATAAATAAATGAAACTGCCTTAAAACTTTTTACAGGAAAATCCTTCAGACTGTACCTAGAGTCTAGGGTTTCAGAAGTATTTCAAAGCAAGACCAAATACTACAAAGCTATTCAAAAAAAAAATACATTGAGACATTGGCTACATACCAATAAAGGCATTTATATGCTCAACATGGCCCATAACATTTAATATAAAATATATGATATATGATATATAATTATATCATAACATGATTTTATATTTCATAGAAAATTGGTTAATCTGAGAAAACATTTGGATCATGAATGACATAGGGTTATCTATCAAACCTAAAACTCCCTTATAAATTGGGGCACCTGGGTGGCTCAGTTGGCTGAGTGACCGACACTTGATTTCAGCTCAGGTCACGGTCTCAGGGTCCCGGGATCAAGTCCCATGTGGGGCTCCGAGCCCAGTGGGGGGGTCTGCTTGAGAGGTCCTCTCTCTTTCTCTCCTTCATGCTCTCTCTCTAAAATAAATAAATCTTAAAATAAAAAAAAAGCATTCCCACAGGTTTCGCTGAGTTGGAAAATGGAGATGGAGAAAAGCTCACATAAAACAATCCCATTTCTGTAAACGACACTCGACATGGAGGCGTCGATGTTCACAAAGCTGGGTGCACTGAGTGTAGAGGATTCGGGTCTAAGGAACCAAACATGGAAGGACAGACGCTAGCTCAGTAACACGCTGGCCTGGGGGGATGGCCTGCAGCTGCGTGGAGGGATGAAAGCCTGACAACAGTCCAACCTGTCTGAGGGGTCCACCTGCCTCGAGATAACATGCTTCCTATTCGCTGACCTAAGTCCCCAGATCCACAGCAGACAGACCCCTGGCCTTGGGGCGAGAAGGTCCCAAACGTGCCCAGTCGCCTGTTCGAAGCCACATCTGCCTTCCAAAGAGTCAAGCAAGTTTTCTGGCAAATCTTTTTCTTTCTTAGGTCACAGGACTGATTTTACTAACCTTCCTTTGTGTATCTGTGGGCCTTGGCCTCCCCTTGCAGAATAATGGGGCGTTCCTGCACATCAGCAAACAGGCACCAGACCCCTGGAGATAGGGTTTGTGGCCGGCACCACGGAGTCTGCCCGGGATGGAGAGATGCAGCAGACCACCCCCTCCCTTCACCGACCCACTCCTAACCCCTCTGCAAATCTCTGGGCCGGGCAGAAACCCAGCAGCTGGCTTTTGCACAAGAGTCCACCTTCTCCCCAGGTTCCTGGCCTCAAATTAAATTAAGCTCAAATTCCTTTCCAATCCAAATTCATCTCTCGAGTACTGGCCCTTCGAGCGAGCGACAGGCAGCTGAGCTAGGAGTTCAGTAACGAGAGAAAGGAGCAAGAGAAAATCAATCCCAACAGAGACCCTGCCCCAAAAAGTCTTTATTCAGATGCACCATGACGCATTTGCGAAAGCGTGCGTCTGTTTCCACATACCTGTAAAAGTTAAGAAGCCGGTGATGGGGATGGAGGAGGGCACTTGTGAGGAGCCCGGGTGACGCAGGGAAGTGCTGAATCCCTGAACTGCACACCGGAAGCTCATACTACACTGTATGTGAGTGACTGGAACTAAAATTTTAAAAGTTAAATTAAAAAAATCAAGTTCATTAGTTAGTGAATTAAGTCAAAAAAACAAACTAAAAGTCATACATGGCTGGCACTTTCCCTGCCTTCAGAAGAGGCACATTCTAGACTGGGCCCATCGGACAAGCTGCAGTTCCCTGCTCCGTTGACCCCGCGTGTAGCTCTCTTACCGTGACGAGGATCTGCGGTGTGTGTTTCTTGGACAAATCAATGAGGTCCACTCCATTATAGTAGAGATTTTCAAAGCAGCCGTGAAAGTCTTTATGTGGGAATGCCACTGATTTTCCATGTCCGGGAATCCCTCCAAAGCTGATCTTAGAAAGAAAAAAAATGACATAAATAATATTGTTTAATGATTTTCTGATTGTCTGCCTAAAACACATATGCTCAGCAGGTATAGGATAATTGCCTCCAATCTATCTGGCATTATTTTAACATTAACATGTTAATTTCAGGTGAATTTTTAGACATACCGGTTAGATGTACCGGTTCTCTCTTTATTACATTTACATAAGTAGGTTAAATACCCCTTCTTGAAATTTGCTACTCAAAGGGCTATGTCACTTCCCCTGACGGGGAATGTTGTATGTTCATTTCCACGGTCACTCTTGATCTGGGTGACAAGGCGGCGGACCGTGATGACATTCTACTTTACAAACCTTCCCAGAACCCAGCTTCAGGGTCCGGGTCTTTGCCAGGACACTGCTGATGGGTTAGAATAACGAAGGCATCGATAATCTCATTCGGGACCAGGCTCTGCAGCTGGCCTCCTCAGCGGAGGCCACTTACACTAAATGAATGTTGAAATCATCCCCTTTGCTCGGACAGATGTGCTGAGCAGAACCGGCAGAACAAAAGGTGTCCTCCAGTGCTGGTTAGATACACGCGGGCAACACGCCGGGGATGCGTTAAGCCTTTAAATGTCCCTAGAAACGGTATTTTGAATCGCCTGACTTTGGCTCTCTCATTCCTCGAAAAAGCAGGTTGGAGTGTATGGTGATTACTTCTCCAAGCAGCCTAGATTGCTAATTCTGTTTACGATCGCCCTAAAACACAGAGATCTCCAAGGGAACAGATCATGGTCAGCACCAGAGGTAACACAGAAAGCCGTCCAGACACATGTATTTTACTGTGCCGCATGTCCTACTGATAGCTCTTCATCCACACACTTTCCGAATTCAACAACTACTTCCTCTCAGGGGAGAACTCACACCTATGAGTGATACAACATCTCAACAATGCATGTGGGTCTCCTGCATCACCTCTGGGAAACATTTCACCAGATTTCCAAATTACTAGCAAAGGGAACTTCTCTGCGTAGCAGTATTTTCTTAAAAGGTGATGTTGCGTTTAAATAACAAAATCTGTAATACTTGAAAAGAAATGTTCACACCTTACAATCAAGATCCAAGTAGTCGCACTCGCCCTCGGCCTGGAAATGCTGACTGTGCCTGTCCACGGTGAAGTGGACATGCGTGTTCCCAAGCTCGATGAGGACAGAATGCCAGTGCTCGTCATCCAGCAGGCTTCCCAGGGTGAGGGTCACACGGGCGTCAGGTGAGGGCAGGTTAGAATGGCCTACAAGGACAGGCGAAGCAAATGAACCGCCCCATCCAACCCAGTACCATGGCTGCCCTGTGGGAGGCCAACTCTTCCCCCAATCACTTTCCTTGCACACTTCCATCTGGAGAGCTGGTGAACTGCCTTTACGTCAGCCTCATGTACAACCTTCTCTCACTTGGGAATGATTTCTTCCACCTTTCTTGTGTTTACTATTATTAATTATTGCATTTTCATTTTTCTTGGAAGTATCTTCTTCCAAGAACCTCACGAAGAGCACCACCTCATAGTTTCAGGGATCCACCCCTTGTCTTTACAATATTACCAGGTTGTCTACTGAACATGTGCAAATGGTCTTACACACTAATCGACCTATAAAACTTGTTACAGTAAAGTACATTCAGGATACATGCGTGTTCTCCATAGTACACCTCAACCATGGAGCGACCACGCTTCCATTTGCCCAGACCATTCTGTTTCATGCCTCTTGCTCCAGAGTAATTATTTCTAGGGTCTTCTTTCTTTCTCGAAAGTGTTCTGGTTTCAGGATAAATTAGCTACTTAACTTGAAAAACTAAGCATAAAAAGATACTTCCATCTAAAGAGGCATATTTTTGAAAACACCCACTGAGAACTTTTTACCTGAATTAAGCGATAAGATGAGCTTTCCTCTAACTAACTGCAGGGTGACGTGTTTGCCGTTTTGTCCTTCTCTGTAGAGTAGAATTCCATCAGTCTGCCTGGTTTTAAATTTCAAAGAAATAACATCTTTTGCTGGACTCATGGATTTCTGATTAAACATGTATAGCAAGGAGCTTTTCCCATCAAAGTTAACCATCTCGGATCCTACAGTGGGAGACATTAGAAAATAATCTAAGTATAATACATCTTTACTCATGCACTGAAATGAGCAAGTTGACACAAACACACACACACATAATATATCTCTGGTCTGTTTAGTGCAGAGGGGAAAAAACGGTGCTGCCCATCCTCCCTGATACCCGTAGTTGAGATCCCTAACCTCCACTCTGCCTTTTCTGACATTTTCCCTAACATGTATCACCTAGAAATACTTCTGTTGACTAAGCCCAATTGCTTCTGCCTTTGTACTGGCCACTTCTCATCCTGTAAACAAGAAAGATTGGTAAAACAGTTGAAGTCACTCTCCACGGTGGCACATCGTGGCTATGAAGCTGCCATTGTCCCTCAGCTCTCCGATAGTCTTATTTTTCCCACTATCAAGGTCACTTGCATTCTCTTTATTGAAAAAGTTATATTTTATCATTAACGTAAAAAGAACACTGGTCAAAGAAACCAAAGACAGAACAGGAGAGCACAAAGGGATTCATACTACACAGAAGAATCTCTCATATTTCTCATATTTCACAAGTAAAAAGACAAGACGTTACTGTGCCTTAAAAAGTCAAAAACCGTATGATTTTACTCATACATGGAATCTAAAAACAAAAGAAATGAATAGACAAACAGAAAGCAGAACCAGACCTAAAAATGCAGAGAACAAACTGGTGGCTATCAAAGGGACAGGGTGGAGGATGGGTAAAGGGGTGAGGCGGAGCGGCAGGTTCCGGCTTCCGGTCATGGAGTGAACAAATAAGTCACGGTGTGAAAGGTACGGCCAGGAAATTAGTCAACGATATTCTAATCGAGTTGTATGGGGATGTGCGGCAGCCACGCTGGTGGTGAACATTGTACAACCCATAAAATCGTCAAATCACCATGTTGTACACCTGACGCTAATGTAACATTGTGTGTACGCTGCACTCAAATTTTTGAAAAAGAGGTTTTTTTCAAATGTGTGTGTGCAATAAATGAAGGTACAAGAGGAAGCCAAAGAAACAGGAAGCTGATGTCTTCTGAGCCGATGATACGACGTTGGGTTTATTTAACTTCACAGAAGCCTGGGACCAATGTACGTTAGGACCTGCATTTCATTCAGACGAACTAAAATATTTACAGTAAACCCTTTATGTTCACAACTCTAAGGAATCCTTTATTTCATGCAACCACCTTCTGAAAATTCAGGAGTTTGATTCTGGTTCCCATACATGGTGGAAAATATATAAACACAGCCGTGTGTCTAAAAATCATGGAAACAAGCAATTATTCTCCATTGCATAGTTAAATGAATGTCTGATAAAAACATATCCCTTTGTCAAATTCGAATGATGTCCCTTCTGCAGTTAGCGAAGAAGAATCGTTTGGTCCACAAATGATTTTATCAGGCTTCTTTTGATCAGATCAGGTTTGTCCCCAGCTTCCCTGTTGCTGCTATAGCTTTGTAAGAGTAACATTTGGTCTTCTAGGGATGAGGACGTCCTGGCATTTTGGGTGAGCACAGAACCCGGCCCCATCCCAGAACTGCGACTCCGCTGGCCTGGGGTGGGACCTGAGAGTCTGCTTTTCTAACGTGTCCCCTAGCGATGTTGACGATGTCGATGCCGCTGGTCTGGTGACTACATATGAGAACCACTGCTCTACAGAACCTAGATTATATTTCCTGGAACAGTCCCCTCAGGCAAAATGGAGTAGTAAAAAATTTATTGGATTTATAGAAACACAAAAGAATGGGCTGAAAATCCTTTTGTTGTAGTGTTTTTGTTTCCTCTCCAGTGAGCTCCTTAACACTCGTACCTAGAACAATCAACCACAAGCTAATCATCACATTCTATCTTACGAGGCACATTTAACATGTGTTTTGACAGGTTCTCTAAGCCTAGAAGGTGACTGAGTTATAATCTAGAGATGTCATCAATGGTATAAAACAGAACCACTTCAAACAACATATCTTGTAGTAGTCCTGGTGGTTTCACTAAAATCTTAAATGGTAACAAAGGTAAGCTCCGTGGAGAGGAGTTAAAACAGCACAGATAGGGGCGTCTGGGTGGCTCAGTGGTTAAAGCCTCTGCCTTCGGCTCAGGTCATGATCCCAGGGTCCTGGGATCGAGTCCCGCGTCAGGCTCTCTGCTCAGCGGGGAGCCTGCCTCCTCCTCCTCTCTCTGCCTCTCTGCCTACTTGTGATCTGTCTGTCAAATTAAAAAAAAAAAAAACAGCACAGATAAAAATGAGGAATTGCTCTCAGAAGTCTGGAATGTGAGGCTGCTTTCTTTTCATCTGAAATGACCCACATCACTCTGCAGCCTGTACGGCCCCATGAGCTAATTTTTAAAGGTTCGTTAAAAAATAAAAAAGAAAAGAAAAGAAAAAACAAGAATTGTGGCGGAGAGCACAGATACCCACAGACCTAAAATGTGTGCTGTCTGGCCCTTTACAGACGCCTGTCATCCCGCACTCAGTGCCATTAGCAGTGATCCTTTCTGAGCCAGATTCCTGACTGCTTACAGGTGGCCGTGATAAGAACCAGCTCACCGCAAGACATGTGGGGACCCTTCTATTTAAATATTAAAAATCCTGAGGGTTTGAAGGGGCGGGGGTGGGAGGTTGGGGGAGCCAGGTGGTGGGTACGGGGGAGGCACGGACTGCAGGAGCACTGGGTGTGGTACAAACAATGAATCCTGTTACGCTGAAAATAAATTAAAAAATAAATAAATAAATAAATAAAATAAAAATGAAATGAATGAATGAATGAATAAATAAATAAAAATGAGAGGATTCAGTCAGACCATGGTAGGACTGGAAGGATGAGTAAGTTGAATACCAACTTTATAGTCAGAAAGAACTGTATTTATGAAAAAAAAATCAAAACAGAATAAAGAAAGCTCTTGGCACACACAAAAAAAACCCTATTTTAGAATGGAAATCACAAATTTAATTATTTTGTTGATCTGCCTGTTGCATAATTCAATATACCTCGTTTGTCGCTTTTCATGAATCTATATTTATGAGGTCAAAAAATAGGTAAATATTATGGCTCCTGTGGAATAACAATACAGACCATTTTCCGTAGCTTCAGAACCTACCTTAGCAGGGGTTTGGCTTTGGAAAATCCAGTTTTGTTACTAAAAAACCATTTTCTCCACATTCCCTTCCTCCCCTACCCCCACACTGCCCTGACTTAATTTCCATTTGTTCCCCCAAGTACAGCTGTATTTTCATTTAACATGGGTGTAGCACCCACTAGGTGCTGGGATGCTGGGATGAAACCCAAGAGGACAGAAATGGCTTGGCCTTCCCAGAGCTGACAGTGCTCCCCTCACCTTCTCGCTTCAGCTATCATGAAAAGAACACATTTCACCAGGAATAGCCTAGTCTTACTGAGGGCTGCTCAGGAAACTGGAGACAAGGAAGCTCACAGTCAGGAAGGAGGAAGTGGAGCACGGGGGAGGTCTTCTCTGGGGAAGTGTCGCGAAAGAAAGAAGGTAAGACCTTACCAATCATATGGCATGTGTCACACTCAGTTTACAGGTAGGCACCCAAAAGCAGCCAACACGATTGAAACAACGGGCCATACTGTTGATCAAGAAGCCCCTCATGACAAACGTGAAGCCCACGTGATAAGTAAGAGTGCGCCTGTCACAAGGACGACTTACAACGGGAATTGTGGACTGGAAACTCAAGTTTCAGGCCTCATCAAAGAGAATCAATTCTACAGAATGTTGTTCACTTACAAACGTTCATGAACGAGTTTGAATATCTGAAAACAAACGGACACGTCACTAAACATAAAATGACTTTTTTTTTAAGATTTTTATTTATTTATTTATTTGACAGACAGAGATCACAAGCAGGCAGAGAGGCAGTCAGAGAGAGACAGGAAGGGAAGCAGGCTCCCTGCTGAGGAGAGAGCCGGATGCGGGGCTCGATCCCAGGACCCTGAGATCATGACCTGAGCCGAAGGCAGCGGCTTAACCCACTGAGCCACCCAGGCGGCCCCATAAAATGACATTTTTAAACATATGTGACTCATATACCATTTTTAAAGGCAATAGATTTTTTAAAAAATTAAACCAGAACATCGTATTATGGGACAGAGAAGACTTAGCTCAGTGAGTTTGCAGCGCGGCTAGCTCTCCAAGTGCAGATGGGGGACAGCCCATCTATAGAAGTAGAGGTTCCCTCACCTTCATGCCCATGTTGGTGATAGCATCAAAATAGAGCCCCAGTCAAGAAAACTAACAATTACAAATTGAAATCATATAAATTGGAAAAACACTTCGTATTTTCAATGAAGTATCATATCACATTTTCCATTTGGAATGTAGGTTCTGCACTCTTGCAGAACAAAACTATTGGTTCCCATTCTGATTCATAATAAGTGACCTCCATCTCAAGTACCCCAATAATTTAATTAGTTGAATTACGTACGAACACATTTTTCACAAACCTTCTTGTAAAGTTAAGTGTGATGCTAAGAGGTAATTTAATGCATTATTTTGGAGTTTTTATTCAAATAAAAGTATGTTAGAGTTGGTTATTTGTATTAATTATGGACATTTAAATTTTTATGATATTTATATTACATATGTATTTATATTACATATATATTCATATTTATAGAAATATATAAATATCAAGGGTGTTTTGAGGTTGCTAAACAAAACCTATAAATTTTTGCTGTAACAGTCAGTACATTTTTTAAATAAACACAATATTTTAATTTTTTTAAACTAGGCTCCATGCCCAGCGTGGAGCCCAACGTGAGACTTGAACTCATGACCCTGAGATAGAGACCTGAGCTGAGATCAAGAGTCGGATGCTTAACTGACTAAGCCCCCCAGGTGCCCCAGACAAATACAATGTTTTAAAATGGCCAATTACATGTTTTACTCCCAATTTTATTTTCATGCCTGACTTGACACGGGACCAGAGTGTCACGGGGAAGACTGGTAGGTCCCCATGGTGTAGGCCATTCTGTGCCTACATAGTCCGTATTCCCAAGGACTCGTGCACTCCTTTCCTCCCTCTTCTCCCCTTCTGATCTCCCCTTCTTCTCTCTCTCTTCCCTTATTCAGACAAACAACACACTAATGAACACAAGACGACACTACACCACCACAGGATGGGACTAGTACAAGCTCAAGGGAATACTTGAGAAGACACTGACCATGAACACAGATGTCAAAGTGGAAAAGAAGGAGCAGAAGTTGCCCCAGGGAAGAATAACAGTCAAAAAAGAAATGAAGGAGGACCTGGGCCAGTGTCGGTGTCTGTGGCTTACAGAGACCTACGTCAAGGATGTCAACGTGATCTGAGTGTGTAAATGTTACTGAAAATTTAAGAAAGCGGAGGACACCCAAACGGAAACCTTTTCAGAGTGGGATACAAAACCTAGAACAAGTCCGTGGGAAGATGGCCCTGGACGCCCCCCTTCCGCGGGGCTGCTGGTGGGCATGGGACTCTAAGAAGAGCTCACACACACTCCACGTGCAGTCTAGGAGTTGGGGGAAGGGAGGGATTTCCAGGTAGAGAACGTGTGTGTGCCACCCCAGGAAGCCATGAAGAATGCCTGGTGTTCGTAGGAACAGCAAATATCATTGTAATTGGAGTTTAAAGAAGTGAAACCAGAGAGAGAAACTGCATCTAAGAGACATTATATGCCAAGATAAGCAATCTGGACATGTTCTCAATATCAACAGAGCAGTGAGACTAGAAATGGGGGGGCAATAATTAGCACTTTGGGCGATAAATCATATCATATACAATTACTGTCAAAAACAAAGTGCAAAGCTCTATGCTTGAACAATTGCTCTTATTAAGAGTAAGAATAAAGACAAGACAGAAGCTCCACTAGTAAACCACGGACGCCACGTAGTTTTGCGAGCCACTGTGACTGATATCGGTCCACAGTTTTAGGCTAGGAGCCCCCCGTGGTGCACAGCTCGTGTTTGCTGACTTAGGGTGCACGCAGGTCCTTCCTGGGACCAGGCCCGCAGCTTTGATCTCCCTGGGATCTCCTCTCCCCCAAGGAGGTGGTACCGCCTCACGAAGAACATCAGGCTAACGGCAAATCGCCATCAAAGACCTTGTTCTGCTTTGAAGTTAGTAAACCTGAAGTTGTTTCCAGAGTAATGGGAGGAAGGAGAAGCTGATTTTATGGGATCAAAGAGAAAACGGAGTCTCAGGTGTCCCAGCGGCTTGCCACAGTGAGCACATTCACGGAGCTCAGACACAAAAGGAGGGAAGGCGATGGCCCATGGAAAGAGGGGGGAAAGGGCAGTCAGCATCGCGAAACCATCTCCGCTGAATGTTGCATGGAAAGACCAACACAGAGACAGAGTTTGGAAACGGAGTGAAAACAGAACCTGTCAGAGCTCAGGAAGATGGTGGAGCTGAGGTGAAAGGGGACGCTTGAATCTAGGATGGGGTCACTTCTGGGACGGTGAGCCCCACCTCCAGAAGGTCTCCCTGCCTGTGGGATCAGCAAAGGGGCGATGGTATCCTTGCTTTGCAGCGGCTCCCTGTGCCCCATAGCACCCACATCCTCCTGTACCCCGAGACCACAGAAGCCCAGAGTCCCAGAGCCACTGTGTGCACGCTCCTGCCTTCCTCCCTCCAGAAGCCCCCCCTACCCCAGCTCACTCCACAAGCCCTTCACTCAGAAAACTGACTGATCGGGGCACCTGGGTGGCTCAGTGGGTTAAGCCGCTGCCTTCGGCTCAGGTCATGATCTCAGGGTCCTGGGATCGAGTCCCGCATCGGGCTCTCTGCTCAGCAGGGAGCCTGCTTCCCTCTCTCTCTCTCTCTGCCTGCCTCTCTGTCTACTTGTGATCTCTCTTTGTCAAATAAATAAATAAAATCTTAAAAAAAAAAAAAAAAAAAAAAAAAAAGAAAACTGACTGATCGCCCTCCTTCCTAGGTCCCAGGATCGTGTTCCAATATTTTACACTTGTTTTGTACAATTTTATGACTTATCATAAAATCCTGACAAAGAAAACCAATCATTTTAGAAGGGCCCCCTACATCCAGTCCCTAACACTTTGCAAATAGCAAGTGTCCAATAAATTCTGACATGGCATGTGAGGGAACAAAGAAATGAAAGCCTGCATAATATAATAGTTATGAAAACCAAATTTGGGGGGAAGACAGAGTTTTAAAATCCTAGGTCCAGTAAGGAATAGCTCTTGCAAACATCTCCATGTCTCCACGGTGAAGTTAGTTCTTCCCTCGAGGCCATACCAGATCCGTCTGGCCGGTCTGGTTGTTGAATGAGAAAATGTCTGCTAGGTAGGATCTGACATATTAAACATTCCGCCTGTGACAGACCTCACTGACACCTCTCGGCAAAGCTAATGCTCTGCTCAGGTATGAAATGAAGTGTGACCAAAAACCCAGCCTCCCACGACGTTCCCAGCCAACATACTCTTTGGGTTATTCTCCAGTTTTCTAGAAATTTTTAATATTTTTTTCTTTTTGTGCTCATTTTAAAAATTCCAGCATATTCCAAATCATCAAAACAGCAACAGTAGAGTTGATTTCCCCACAGACGTCACTGAAGCATTTCTGCTTGTGTTCACGCTCACACTGGCTGTGACTTTTGTCCCTCTGCTCATCAGTGGGGAAAAGAGGGAAGACACAACACATAAGTGATGTTCAAACAAGGGTTCACGTCGAGGAAAGTGGGGATTTGAGCAGCGAATATGGGAGAAGCCCAGAGTCATTTTGGGTTATGGGGAAAACAAGATCACCGGCTGTCCCCTGCGTCCCCACACCAGGGTCACCTCAGTGCCCAAGAACGACACCATCCATCACAGTGAATTGCTGTGGTTGACTTGGACCTCGTTGTTTGGATGACGCACCCACTCTAAAACAGCTACCCTGCTCTCTTCTGGGAATCTCGGATTCCAAGGCTCAGTTCGGGCCCACCTCTATGTTCAACTAAAGTAACTAAAGACAGCAGTATCCAGGCTTTCCACAAAATCACACACAGATGCCTAAAAAGTTAGAAACAAGTCAAGCTCGGTTTTCAGCCTGGCCACGAGAGCATGTCCCTCTGTCACTGATTTTGGGGCGGGGAGAGGGGTAAACAGCACTTACGGTACGTGCATCCGTACACTTCTATCCTCATCCCGATCCTGCCCTTGGGGCTCCAGGCTAAGGGGAGGAAGCGCAGGAACCTGGCTTCGAGGGGAGGCCGCAGTGGGTGATGCACCACGCTGTCCGCGTTTGTGTTTCCTGGAAAACCCTGGGAGAGAAGGAGAAAGGATCAGTGTGTCTGCAGAACCCGGAGCTCCCAGCTCTTCTCCTGCGGGTCAGGGACAGAAGCTTCACTCCATTCTTATGCAAAAGCCTGCCTGCTTCATAGAAAGTCTGCTAATGTTTTAGAGGGATGTGACCACCCTTCCTGAGGGCCTGGATTAGTCACCATTGTTCTAAGCTTTCCTCATTTGCAGGGTGATTTACATTTCAGCACCATTAAGCTGGGTGTAAACCTGCCACCCTTGAAGGCTTGCCCTTCCCCTAAAGCGTTTCCCTCATCCGTAAGCAGCGGAGACGCTCTCCCGCAGCCCACATCCAAGGCAACCAAGCACGATGTAACTTGCCGTCCGTGCAGGAAGAACCCTCGACTCGGGTAAGAGCGCTGGGAAGGACCTACACAGGGTTCTAGTTCCAAACCCCTCGTTTATAAAGGCAAAACCGAAGTCCAAGAAAGTAGAAAGAGTCTGTGGCGGTAGGACAGCGGCTACCCGGCAGGGCCACAACTAGATTCTGGGCTTTGGATTTCAATCGCAGTGTTCTTAGTGTGCGGTCAGGCTGCCCCCAAGTTAGCCGCATTTCGGGAGCACTCGGGAGACCCACAAGACAGAGGGGTGCCCTTGCCTGGACACAGGCACCTGGCCTCAGGCTAGAGGGGGACAGCATGAGCACAATGGACGTTGTTACAGGGGACGTGTGACTCGTTTCTCACTGCGTTGATTTCATGTGAAGATCAGCATATGGGGAAACCCAAAAACGGGTGATGCTCGCATATACACACATCGATCATATCACTAATGATTTAATCTATTTCAGACAGCTGTGTCACTAATGATTTCCTCGGTTTCTCAAAGGTAACACATACATGCGAGAGGAATGGGAGAACAGAGCACAGACTCCAACACCAGGAAGTGCGTCCCCACGCAGCCTCTCCGCCCTGACCCGCAACCTCTCTTGAACGCTCCTGAACTGCTCCGTACTTGCGTGGAGAAAAAGGTGGGTGCGCTTCCGATGACATGGACTTAGTTACCCCTGTGGCGAATCCGCTCCCCTCACCCCTACGGTCCTGCCTTCCTTAGCATTAACTCCCACACAGCGATCTTCCAGAAGCTGGAGTGTGAGCCACAGGACCTCGGTTCTTGTGTAGACAATTTGCGCCTGCAAAGTCCCCTGAGACGCTGGGCTCTTCTGTCCTGCCACCTGGGCCCCAGAACCTCCTCTAGCCTCCTTTGCACCAGGATTTCGACGGGCTCTTCCTGCTCTTCGGTGTCAGTGTCGACCCCTGACACTGTACACCCCCTTTTAAAACTGATTCCATCGACTCTTCCTCAGATTGTCCATCAGTTTTCCCAGAGGACCTATGCAACAGCAAAGCCATAACAGCCTAAGGGTTTCCAATCGTAACACAGCATCTTAGCGGAAAATCTGCCCCGTCCAAGGACCTTACCAGTCTATGCTCTGAAAACAGACAGCTATGGTGCATCTCTTCTAAAAACCTATGTCAACTGGTAAATCAATGCTATCAGTTCTTTGGAACCCCCCATCAAAAGTTCAAGTTCTGTGTTCTTTGATCTCTCCAAGTTTTACCATCCAGAGAGCCAAAGATGTTCTCGTAATACTCCTTCATATAATAGTAACAAAGTGAGGAACAGAAGACTTGACCCTTTCTTATGCTCCCTTGCACAGAAGGACACACTCCGCCTCCACCACAGTTAAAAGGGTCAGGCATACTCACGCTGCACAGGAGCAAATCTCGTAGTTGAGCCAAAAAGAATTCACATCTCGTCGTTTTGCTTTGTGAAACCCTAGACCTGGCTTAACACCCAACCCCAACCAAACCAAGCCCAATCACTACTCGGGCTTGTAAGCCATGACAAGCTGGTAGGAACGGACGGAACCAAGAATACAGAAAACTAAATGTGGTATCAGGGCCAGTCTCAGACCCTATAACACTTCCTCTTGGCTAGTGAACGAAACATCATCTGGGAAGCCCTCCAGCCTCTCTCTCTTGCTCAGTGGAAGCACCATCTTTGTCCAACGTCACCTGTTCTTCAAGGGTTGGCAACTGTTACACCAAGAGCAGGCAAACCCTCTCCATTGCCTCCACGCTCTGAATGGGAAGTCAGGAATGTGCCCTCCCTGCCCCCAGCTTCCTGTAGGAACTGCAGGCTGGCCTGGGTAGGGGCTGCTTTGTACCAACACATCACTGTCCGGCACGCGCTCCTGTTATTACGGGCTCCCAGACCCACTGCCTTCATCCACAAAACCAGCGTGGTCCAGCGAACTCTGAAGGTTGAGGAGCTATTACGTGAGATAATACCTGACAATCATGTTCCCACACCTGCCTGGAGGTAGGCGGTCCACGAGCACCAGCCACTGTGGCCACGGCCTTGGCTGCCATTTTGGTTACGGCAGGTGCATCTGGCAGAGGCTGCTCGTCTGTCCAACTCTGCATCCCGTTCCTTACACTCTGTCTCAGGTTCAAGACCCGAGACGTGCAGATCACCGTCGGCTCCCACGTTCACTGTGATGCCAAGGTTACAATTCAACCTCAGAACTGAAGTCCATGTTTATCTGAGGGTAACTGACAAAAACTAGGAAAGGTACTTGAACAAATTGTTTTATTTTCCTTGGATATCATTACTTCCTTCTGAAGCACTTTGTCCGTGGAAGGTAAATTCTGGACACCGTCATTCAGACTGTGTGATGACAACGCCATATAGCAAAAGGAATTTCTAGTGCTGTTTTAATGGAATTTAGACAGAATACTATTTAAGGAATATTTCAAGTGGAAATAATGTCTTAATAGTCTATGAAAAGAGGAGATTCAGAAGGCACTCTTTAAAACTTCTGGGAATCTGTGTATGAAACATTTGTCACACACAATTTTAATTACATTCAAATATTGGGACGTATATATGTATGTGTGCACAGGTCTGTGACCATGTTAATTTGTTCTAATTTTAAGGAATCGCATTATTTTTGTCTCATAGCACTATCACCAGTCCCTTTGGGTACAAATCAATCACGCATTTCTTTTAAGATACAGAAGTTAAATGAAATGACTGTGGCACAATACAGATCCCTACTAGCATGTCACTCACTTTCAGGGCTCATTACTGAAATGATCCCATATATTTTGGTGAAGCTAGTGTTTATCTCTTAAGAGATGGTGTGATCTGTTCCTTGCCATATGTACTTTTGCTTTGGTTTTCCAGAACAGATCTGGGTGAACAGGCCACACAAACTTGCAGAAACAAAGGCCCACTCTGTGCTCTAGTAAGTGGGAAGATGAAAACCCCATCTTCCCCATCTCTCGTGACAGGAGTGACCTCGGGGAAGCCAGAATTTTCATGTGTAAAGTAAGAACAAGAAAACCTCTCTTAGAATATTGATGAGTTAGTGGGAGGAGTTCCATGGGCCTGTCTTTCTGGCATCCCTCTTGGCTCGCTAGCATTAAGAAACACACCGACGACACTCTCCCCACAACTGATCACAGGGACACTTCATCTGGACACGGACTCAACATCTGGTCACTTAAGGCATCACATTGAATCCTTTGTCCACTATTAGGAGCAGACGATGTCTAACATTTCCACGTTAGTTAGGTTGAAGGTAACCCGAGTCCACAGCTTGGGCTCCGCTCACGTGCTAGAAACATGTTTCCGAGATAATTTGTTTTAGGAATCGGTGAATTTTCTGAAAAGCTGCCAGCTCTGCACTGATTTAGTTAGCAGTCACGTTAGTAGACTCCAAATTCGGAGAAGGGATCACTGGGAGACTCCCTCGGAGCCATGGTCTCGGATGTAAACTGAGTCATCACGATTCCGCGTTGGGGTCAACAAATGACCTTCAAGATGCCTATTATGTATTTGTCATTTCAGGTTTGAAATGTCTGTGTCCTGATGTCGGCTTTTATACCAATGCCTTCTTTCCAAACACAAGTGGTGTTGCTTATAGAAACAGGTCTTGGTGATTTAAAAAAATAATAAATACTACGCCTCATCTGCAGGCCCTTAGGAAACCTGAGCTTCATTACTCACTCACCGCTGTTCATTTTATTTTAAGACCTCTGAGGTAGGAGGAAGGATGTTGCTGGGATCAAGAGTGTGTGCAAGAATCCCCAAGCTCTAATTCTGGCCATTTTAATTACGGGGCCATGATGGTCTTGGACAAGATGCTTAAATCTCCCCGTATCTCAGCTTCTTCATGAGCAATGGGGGAATAATAATAATTACTGTTACTATTAAAAATAATATTTTGTCCCCGTTATTTCCAGAGGCTCACGGACCATGAAAGGACGTACTAAAATTATTTCCTGTAGTTAGACCACATCAAAGTTGTAGCCAGTTGCTTTAAAGTAAGTGATCTTGTTATGAATTATTTTTAATATTTCAGTGAACTACAAAGTACTGTAACATTTACACATAGATAAATCAAGGAAATCCTCCTCTTGTCGTTTCACTGAGTGAGCTGGACTGGGATGTCAGAAGTATGACCCCGAGGGAGGGCCTGACCCCTTAGATGTCAGTCAGCCAGGGGCCTCGCGCGAGGTGAGCACTAGAGTTTAACTCGTGCGGATGAGTTGACTTCAACAGTGTCCTGGAAAGTGAACGGATAATCTCCGTTCTCACTTAAAACAGCCAGACAGGTGCCTGGTGCGCATCTTCTGATGTGACGATCTCATGTGTCGGAAAAAATGTGCACTTAGTAAGCACTTCCTGGTTTCTTTCATGGACTCAGCGGAAGCAAGTCACACAGTCAAACCAGTGACTGAGCAAAAAGAGACGACCACGGCTCTGGGTCGCAGCACCTTCCCCTACCTGGAGAGGTAACCCGCCCCGTGACTGAGCACAGCTCCGCCTCCCAGAAACCCAGAGCACCTGGCCCTGGACTCATCCACATCCCGGGGCCAAAGCAGGTGCTGGAAACAGGGTCCCGAATGCTGCTCTTCATTAACGTGCTTCTGTAATCTCAGCTGTATAAAAG